TCACTACAAGCAACCCTTTTCCCATCATCATTTAAAACACTGTTATATTAAAAATATTGATTAAAGCTGCCCTAACCATAAAGTTGACAAAATGCTCATTTGGTATTTCAGTCAGGACACTCCCTTCATGATTTTAACTATTTATTATACCAATACACATTTTAGCTTGGTGGCATGGCTCTGCTCACATGTGAGTTAGATTGGTGGACTGCTGCTCCTCACTAACAGAGAAACGTTGCAGCCGTGCAGCTTCTTGGATTGAATATGTAAATGTGCTTAATTCCTTGTTCCAGCACGCTTTCATAAAGAATCATGAAATGTAAAACTGACATGGAAAGTAGAAAGGCATTGCTCATCTTGTTGTAACTGAGCCTTTTGCACAGACTGCGGGGCTGAAGTTGAAAGGGGCTGTCAGACCGTGTTTAAGCTGTTTTTTCCACGCTATGACCTCGCGAACAAACCCACCCGCATTATCAAGTCTACTCGAGACAACTTAATCCAGCTCCTGCTAGACAAACTGCAGACTGGCTGACAGCACCAACAAGCTCTTTAGCTTTCTGGTTTGTTCTCTGATCTTCAAATTCAGAGCCCCTTGTGAGTCAGGCAGCGAGAACTGAGACTGCCTAGTAGCTGCCTTACATATCGTCCTCGTACACACGACATTATTGGGATTAGGATTTAGACAGATTGCACTGGTGATTAATAATTTTTTTATGAAAAGAATCACTAGAAAATAATTTGTTTGCAAATAGTCTAGGGGAGGACAGCACTCCAGACAGAAAGCAAACTCGTGCTTTGATTCAGCCTCTTGGATATTTTTGTCATTTTGACTCGGTTTTTGGCACAGAGCACTTTGATCAGATTTGGGGCCTGTGTGTTCAGTGCTGGCACAGTCTCACTCAGACTGCATGTGTGTATCTTTGATGTTGATCTGTGCCACTGCAATAATACAAACAACTTTGACAACCTAAGTAAGCAACTATTTACTTGATATTCTTTTTTATTTATTTTTCCTTTGAGATGAAATCTGCTTTTCACAAGCCCCTTGGACTTTGTTCATGGTCTAGCACTGCATTCGCCTTTAACCAACAGCGAACATGAAGGGGTTCCAGTTGTTATGAAGTGGATTCAGTGGCGAATGGTTTTGAGATAATTGTGTTGAAAAAGAATCAAAGAAGACATTTAATACAGACTCCCCCGACAAGTGAAACAATCTAACAAGCTAACATAACTTTGTCTAAAAAAGAGCCACTCGTTCTCATGAATTAAACCCAACTCAACAATAATTTGAAGGAATAACCCATTGTTTCGAGTGCACTTACATTTGTGCAGTATTTTAAGTGTTGGTGATTTAATTCCAGTTTGTTCCATAGACTCATTGTCTTTAGATTGACTTTAGCCCCCGAAGCCCCAAAATTAATTGGCTACCAATTTTGATAGTTGATTAATTGTTTCTTATCATACGCCAGCTGTTTTGTCAGGTAATGTAATAATTTACTTTAGTGGAAGAAAACTGAATAAATTCAATTCAAGTGTTTTTTGTATAAAGGTGATGCATTAAAGGTAGTGATACTTTATTCAGATAAATAACTTTTAAATAAGTTTTAAGTTTAATTAACTGAATGAATTTGGTACAATTAACTTACCAAAGTTACCTTAACAATAAATACTTGAGTTACTCAAGTTCAAATCAAATCTTTTTCATGCTTAAATTGCTGAGTTGAACTAACTCATCTGGTTTCACAGTGCAGAGATCACAGGTCGGGATATATTCAGCAGTTGTTTATGAATTCTGGATTTTGTACATACATGCTGAAGGCTGAGGGTCCATGATGATTGGGGCGTGTCATCAGGCGTGTGGAGGCCTGCAGATGTTTGAGTTGCATCTATAATAAGACTGGGCTGCGAGGCATTTCAAATCTTCTCCTCCTCCTCCTCCTCCTCCTCCTCCTCCTCTCCTTTGCCATCCCTCCATTCCTCTTCTCCGTCTAGGGAGTGCCGCCTCCTCCACCTGCTGCAGTCTGTCTGTCTGTCACAGAGCTGCAGTTTAAAGCTGCTGTCAGGTGCAAACCTCCATGAGTCTGACTGTAGGAGATTTTTTTCTTAAACTGAAATATTCTGTGACTACAGTGCTCAGAAAACTTTACATTTTGATTTAAAAAAGACGTTTTATAACTGAAAACTACCACTTTGATAAATAACTAGATTACTTTTTACATTTACAAATGAGAGCACATTACTGTCACTGTCTGCTGTAGGTTAATGAAACACAGCGGTGACGACTGCTCATTTGTGCTCTGACTGCCACTTTCAGGCCATTGGTACAGCAGTGTAGTGGTTGCACCTGTTGTTGCTGCTGATACAATGTCAGTCACTCAGCACAAGCCTTGATCTCAACACGACAAGCTGAACATCTCTGTTTGACGAGTGTGTGACAAAACTGAATTTGCTTGTCAAACAAAATGAGTCCGGATAGTTTAACATGAGCTGAATTAAAAATTAAAAATTTACCAGAATCATAATTTTTTTCATTATGTAAAACAAGTACCATTAATTAATTTCTTTCATCATTCAATTTGTAGATTTCATAACATAAAAACATCCTGGACCTGCTCAGTGTCCAACAGCAGATATTGCAGTCATTTATCTAACAATGAAACAAATGATTATAGTCTCAAAATGAGATCCGCTGTGTTAGATATATCTCATTATCACTGTAGGTGCAGCAGTGAGTCAGTGGGAGGGTTTAGACGTCTCCATTCTCATCACTTAAGAGTGTATCACTTCATGTGTAAAGGGTCCATCTCTCCAAAACTTGTTCTATTCCACTAATGCCTGTCCCTGCTCCTCTGTTGCTGACACACTGACGGCTGGTCAGCAGTGAATGCGTGTTATGTGTTCCTGTGACCTCCTCGATACCAGATACCTACAACCCACCCAAACAGGCACGACATCCACGCTGACACTCTACACGCACATATTCAAACACACAGATGGGCTTTCTCCCTTGCGCAGACACAAATACACGCACACAAGCACACAAGCACATGAACACATAGCTAAGCTGAGGCCGTTAAAAAAGCGATCACATGAAGGCAGGACTGCGAGGAATGAGCGTGCTGGGGGCCACAGTGACGGAAAGCAAAGTGATTCCTGGCAGAGTTATGCTGCTGATGGACTAATGGTAAACTGACCAGGAGAGGAGGTTCTGCTCAGTTAAATGAATCCTTCCTTTAAATGATGATACTGACTAGGCTCTGCCCTGTGCTGCTGTTTATTTAACCAACCAAGTTACTGTGGATACACTGTAGTCCTCAAAGTTGCCCTCCACATTGTAGCTTCACAACTCTGTGCACAGAAGAGCAACAGAGGCCATTTTAATACAACAAAACCATTTAAGCATTCTGTGTGAATCACTTGTGTATTATCGCTGTTGCTACACTCGCTCAGCTTCATCGGTTCCTGCTGGCAGAATTTCTGTTTTTATAGCTCGCATTAGCTCTCCATGGTGACTGGATGATGGATATTAAATGTGTTTGAAAACAGTTGCCAGTCTGGAAACCTTAAATGTCTGAGTGGACATCAAAGCATCAGACAGCTAGCTGTGGAATCCAGACAGCAGTCTGGTCTGGTCTAGTTCACTTTTTGGCTGCACCAATTAGATCCCTGCTAGCCCTAAATCAGTGTGAAATTATTCTGTTTGTTGATACATCTTTTATAGTATGGATGCTAATGCATGTGCATTGTCTGAAAAGTAAAGAACGTTGCTGTTTCAGTGCCACAGCAAGAACAAACATCTCATCATGTGATTGTGGCGGCTGTACGTGTATCTTTGCAGCAGGCTGTGTTGGCTCTCTTTAAGTGGAACAGTTCACTATTTATCTCCTGACATTACTTTAATCAACTGACTCAGACGTAGTTTAAGACATGGTGGAGCTGCTTCTATATACCTGTTTTCTGGGAGTGACATACAACTGAACTGTAACCATAACAAGCACATTTGGTAGATATATTAAATGTTTTTGTTGTTATGACAATGCCACTTCTGTAATGGATGTTTTGGGGTTGTTGGAGTTGTACCACTGGTTTCCTAAAAGAGGAGAGTTTGGATGGTTTGGGCTCGAGTAGCCACTGCAGAGGCAAGACTACGGAAAGAATCCCAAGACTGCCATCCCAGAAGCTTCAGACTGACAGCCATGTCACTATAGCAGACGCTCAAACTCCATATGCACGAGCCTGACATGAACACCTGACACTACACAAGAATGCTACTGGAGCTAATTTACTGCTATATTATACAGTCCTGTTTGGTGGCATGTCACTGCTGACTGGTGTCATCCTGCATACAGACAGAGCTTTATGTAATAAATGTCCACTGAAACAACATTTATTGAAATAGTGTGTTGAAATCATTCTACAGTATGTGTGTGGACATGCAGTGAGAGCTGATGAGCCCACAGTTAAATATCTGAAGCAGAGGTGGAAAGCATCCAGTAAATCTTTAATCAGCTTTAGAAGTGTATCAATCAGTTTATATTAAAACATTAGAAAAAGAATTGATCAGATACTGAACATCATATGTTGAAGTTTAAAAGATTGTTGAGACACAGAGTCATAGACAATACAGCGATACTAAACAAATAATGTAGAGAATGTGACAATAAACACACTTTATTCACGTCAAAGGAAAGAAAACAAATCAGCAAAGCAATTTGTGTGCACCTTGAAAATAAACATAATCATTTATTCCTTTTTCTACCTCCTTTTTCTCTTGTTTAAAGCAGTCTGTGGTTATTGGACAGATCTACAGGACATTCAGTTCAGCCAGTTCAGAAAATGATTTTCCATTCCTATTTTTATGTTGCTAATCAAAACTCTCAAATGCAGTTTGATTAAAAAACTGTGAATGGATGTACTTCATTGCCGTCTCCCCTTAATTAAACACTAAGCTATTACAAAAAACAGAATAACCTGAGTGGTTTTTTTTCTTTCTTTTTCAGACTCTGACAGAGACCAAGAGGACAGTCATGTTTTCAGCCAGACCAGAGACCCAGCCGTAAGTACACACAGACCTCCTTCTGTTCACACAGATACATAAACCAACCGTAACGTTCTTCTATAGCGAGAGCCATAACACCAAAGCGAGAGGCGAGAGTTGAGATGATCAACATGACAAACAACAACAGTCTACATCAGTATTCACTGAGCAGGAGATGGTACATGTTTTATTTCTGTGCTCTCAATCAATTTAAAAGCACCATCTGTCCCCAACACAGTAATAACATGCTCCGAATACGCAGCCGGCGCTTTAACTCAGTGGAGCGATTCTTTATGTGATTGTGGTTTGATGAGAGAAATGAGTGCCGACAGATGTTACTGCACTTTACTGAGGATGTTACTGAGCTATAATATGTTTAAAATTTAGTGCATTATTACACTTTATGAAGAGAGTTTTACATTATTTTTGATTGTGTACTTGAAGCTCATATACAGGGTACTAAATCACTCGAGCTCTGTGTTTTAGTGTTCACTGGCTGCTGAATGTGTGTGTAAGAAGGGATTAAAAGAGGAATCATCTTAATGAGTGAAAAACATAACAGGAATAATTATAGCATTAGTTATATAAGGGATTTAGCTCACTATCTTCACTGGAAATGTGTAGCTGCTAAGTGTGAAAGGTCACAGCAGCCTGACAACAGGTGAAGTGCTAAAACAGGATGTTTTTACGAGATTAACTATGCAAGAGTTTATGAAGCAAGCTGAGGAAGGGGATATGGGAGGCTGGAACATGACATGTTTCCTTCAGAAAGGAGGTAAGAGGTTTGATTTAGTCAGGGGAATAAAACACACACACAATAATAACAATACTAAAAGCTCTGGGGGATCTATATTCGGATTCAATGAAATAAATAGGTCATCAGGAGACAAATAAGACACTTTCCACACAGCTCTGCTAAACAACCTCCTCCAGTGATGATCTCTGGACACAGGAAGTTAAAATAAATTCAGTCACCTTTAGAGGTTTTGACACTTTTAGCAAAACATGGTGTCTTTGCGTTATAGTACGTGCACAGTTAAGTGAGCCTGGCCTACAAAACACATCTTCAAATGCATTACTAGCCATCATTACATTAATAAAGATTATTAATTCAGCATTCAGCATCTTACTTGTGTGTAGCCCATCACGTTACAGAAATCTGATCATTTTGTCTTCCTGGGCAAGTAGCAGACCCATTCTCAGTTTGAGAGATTGGTTCATTTTGTGTCCTCGTGAGTGGGAAAAGTTAGGAGTTTGTGTCTTTCATGAGGAGTGAGCACTCAGTACGCTGGACAGGCTGACCCTGTACAAACTGGACAGTAAAAAGAGTCATTCAAAAAGATTAATTTGTTCAATTTCGCTCCACCGCTACGGCTGGCCATGATATAGCTTCCTCCGAGATAAAAGCTCATTTTTTACTGCCTCTGCTGAAGTTCAGTTGTCAGCAACTGTTTTGTTTTATTTGGTGGGGTGTCATGACCACATCCTCGAGTGGATTTGTAGTAGCAGCACATGGTCAGCATAGAGTGCCTCAGAGCACGACAAACCCACAGCCTGTATTTCCTTTTTAATTCTCGCTGAGAACGTTGACTGAGCCTCACATGCACACTGCAACACAGATTCAAACCTGGGAGCCACTGGAGCAGTGGAAAGCCGAGAATGTCAGTGCTTGTTGAAATAAATTGAGAAAATTCACACAGCGGTCCTCATGTTCCTCAGATTTTCCCACACCAATCTCCCTGAAGCTGCAGTTCAAACCTGCTACGGAGCTGCAAATAATCTTGTTAGTCGAGTTAAAGAGAAAAACCACACTGAAAAGTTCTGCTGCATGAAAGTGACTTAACACTATCTTCTACTGTGTGGACAGGTAAAAGACAAGAGGCGGTCGCCCCCCTCTAACAGGTCCCCCTCCCCCCCACAACGCAACCCTCACCACAGCGGCTCCACAGACGAACAGGAGAGCCCTGAGAGAGTGGTGAGACACACATAGACACACACGCACACACACAAACCTGCATTAAAACGCTACAAGGATGCACAGAGAGGGACACACACACGTACAGTATACATGTATCTCTGGGGATGTTAGAGTGTGTCGATGAATGCTGTTTAGATTTAACGTATGCTTATAAAAGAAAAGGGAATTCTCAAAAGCTGCATTAAAGTTAAAAGATTCATTCTGATGTTTGTCTTTGCTCTGCATCTAAATAGAGAGGCAACCCATGTTAACAGGTCAGAGCCGCCACACTGACTCAGCTGCGGCTGCAGCATTGCTGCAAGCAAAATTATTCCGCTAGCTGTGCCAGTTCCCAGCAAAAACAGATAAATGGTTAATTGGTCCGTTCAGTCATATCGACATTACACCAGCAACACTGTAACACTGCAATGTGTCATTTTTACACTTTGATTCTTTGACTTTGTGCACATTAAACAAACAAGATACAACCTGTTAATGGGTGAGCTTTAGAGGTGTCGGTAGGTGGATTCTGTTACCTGTGGAAGGCGAGAGGCAAGCTGTTTCACCCACTTTCCAGTATTCATGCTAAGCTAAGCCAACTGGTTGCTGGTTGTAGCTTCATATTTAACAATGAAGCATGTGGTCACAATCTCTCATCTAACTCCTGGCAATAAAGCTAATTCATAAAGCCCAATATCACAAATCACAAACTGGCCTCAAGGGGCTTTACAGTCTGTACAGTACACAACACCTTTTATCCTTAGACCCTTGATTCGAACAAGATGAAACTCTGTTCCTTTAATTCTGACAAACAAACCAACAAAAGCTGTTTTCATAACAAATAGCACAAATTATCAACTTGAATCAGGAGTGAAGAGCTTGCCAGCCCCTCAGGGTCAGTTTATTTTACATGTACCTGCATTATCCTGGTGTATGCTGCCATTGTGATTTACTTTATTTGGACTGAGGAGAGTCCCTGTGACATTGACCTCTGGAACCTCAAAGCTAAAAACGTTGAAATCTTTATGAACTACATTGTTCTTCGGATATATTTGGAAAGGAGAACGCAGCATTATGACTGACCTCGTGACCCCAGCAGGCACCAGGCTCATACAAACTGGATCACAATAGTCCAGGCCCAATCTGCTGAGGTCATTGTCCACCACATAAACAACCTTTCATTTCTCCCAGCTCAGCACAGATGCCAGTCGTGGCCTTTTCACGCTGCAGCAGGTGACGGCCAGCTGCTGGACGCAAAGTCCACAACAAAAAACATCTGAATGTGGCAGATCTGAAACCAGCCACAGGTGTCGGGGGACTCTGTAAACACTCTGACCCACATTCATGGACTAAAAAAGTAGCATGTTAGCACTTTAAGAGTTTTTGTGAAACAAAGCGGTGCTGCTGCCTGTCGCGGGACAGTGACACCTGCTGGTTGCAAACAGGAATGTCAGCGTAGCTAACAGGCATTAAACAACAGACGGTTGTTTTCCACACAGGAAAAAGACAGCGGTTACACAAAAAGTGGAATATATCTGTAACAAATATTAACATATATATTTCTTGTTTATATGATACATTACAATCATAGTGAGATACTGCTGATTAAAGGTTACCTGAATTTTCTGTCTCTAGGCTTTCAAATGAAATTTACATTGTAAATTAGTTTTGGAGAATTCAATTGTAAAATTTTAATTTTAACTTTTATTTAATTATCAGATTAACAGGAGTTATTACACTGACACAGGTATCTTGCATAACCATGGGGAAATGTATTAAGTTAATGAATATTGCACAAATTGAAATTAAATGAAAGTGTCATTGCATCAAATTTAAAAGTAATAATAAAAAATATATAACAGCAACAACAGCCAATTATCCTTATCATAATCATAACCACTGTCACCATCATCATCTTAATCCACAGTGGAGTAATAATAATAGATTATGCATAAAAGCAATTAACAAAAATAATTATTGGTCATACAGTTAAAACAGAACTTTTTCAACCATACTTTGGTTGATTTTGTGCTGTTCTTTTGGCATCATGACATCCACCAGCACTGCAGATTGTCTCACCCCGTGCTGTCGGTGTTCTCTGTGTTGTCTGCAGGTGCAGAAGGAGAAGCTCCATGCAGAGCTGAAGCAGGTGTTGAGTCAGAAGAGAAGTCATCTGAGAGATTCGACCTGCCAACTCGCCCAACCAGAGATGGACTCGGAGCCCACAGACGAACAGACAGTAAGATGGAGTCTAATAAATACTGGTGATGTGACTTCAGGCTCAGTATCAGTGGTTGATCACCGACTGGAGAGTCTTTGTACCATAAATCACTAACAAAGGAGATGAAGGATGACGCACACAAACTCACTCAAATGGCTGAGAGAGTTCACGATTCAGAGAAGTTATTTCCTTTGGTCAGTCCCTGGAAAAGTGGATGTAATCCAAGAATAGAGTGACCTTTCCTCCATGACAGCTTAATGAATAAAATGAGTTCAGGGGTAAAGTGTGAAGTGACAAATAACTGTACCGTCATTTCTGCACTCACTCAAGCAAGTGAAACACGATATAAAACAGTGTTGAAGCCCCATTTTTAATTAAAGTAAAAGTGACATAAAAGACATAAGAACATGCAGTTTCTTAGGTGATGTATTTTCTTAAAGCTGCACAATGTAACTTTGCACACAGGTGGCTCCAACTGGTTTTAATAGGTAATGATTTATATATTTCTTTTACTTCCACAGAATCACTGCTGAGCAAGAACTCATACATACCATAGTTTTCATCTTCAAGTATAAAGGTTGTGTGTCTGTGTGTGTTTTAGAGTGGGGAGGAAGCCTCTAAGTTGGTGGAAATTGTGGTGGAGACGGAGGCGGAGGCTGGAGCCAGCGGCTACAGTGTGACTGGTGGAGGACAGCGAGGGATCTTTGTTAAAGATGTCCTCAAAGACTCACCAGCTGCTAAACATCTCAGTCTACAGGAAGGTACCTGCGGTCACATCTGACTCATTTAGGAACCACTTTTGCCAAACATACTCAGTGTCACGAAATCCAAATAAGAAATAAATTGAAAATATGTACACAGCAAACTCTGAGCCATGGTGAGTGTGTGTCCTGGGTTTGTGAACCAGTGCGATTGCTTTGTTCATCAGTATCGTGTTCTTGGATATTCAGCATATTGGACATTCATGAAGGGTTTGAATGCCCTGGACTAACCTTAAAACTTGTAATACAAAATGTTTTTATACATTTAGAACCACAAACCTGTTGAATGGATAAAAAGAAGCTTCTTATATATCTCAGATAGAGGCAGAGTTGGGTAGTTACAGCAAGTCATGCAGTTTTATAGTTAAACCAATAATATATATACCAAGAATATCAGTTTGGACTGTTTACACTGTGAATAATTATGAGAATTAATGTTTACTGGTCAAAGACTCACGACTTTACTTTGGATTATGTCAAAAGGAAACTGCACCAGCATCAACGCGGACAACAATTATGTTCGAGATAACAGATCAACACATATAAAAATATCAGTTCTCTTATAAAATTGCATCTCAATGGCGCTTACAGGCTTCCATCAAAATGTAATGCTACTGCTGATCCAAGTATCCAGACACTAATGCTAATGGTTGTGTGTCTGTGCGACCACATTAACCATTGAATTAGGCGCCATATCATAGACTATAATGAAGACGGGGGAAAGAAAAACATTGGACTGTTTGTGAACACAATGGACAACATTTCAAATGCAGATGGTCATTCTCAGTTCAAATTGAAAAAGTAAACATACCATTATCTCCTATGGAATGTAATTCTTCCATTACCGAACCCCACCCACACAAGTGTACGTCATTATTGATAGACGATATGTCACTGTTTTATGATCTTCTGTGCTTTGTTCAGTTGAATCGTTGTGGATGTTACATAGGCTGCTGTGTTATTAAAATGTAAGGCTGGTTTCAGTAAGTTTATAGACTTTACACTTATCGTCTTCCCTTGAGTGGAGAAACTTCTCTCCTGATCTGAGGCGGTTAAGATGGGGACAGACTGGTTACCTAGCAATGCTCTATATCCCGAACATTAAATCCTTATAGGTATTAAACATTTATGACTCAATTTAAGAGATTTGTGCAGTGTGCTCAAGTGTTTCTGGGTCTATCACAACATGTAAGGACTCTTTATATCCAGTTTTTCCACATAACAGTTAAATGGTCCCTGCATATTTGATCTGTTGGTTTATCAATAATATACGAGACAACCATAAAAAGCAGGGTTTTTAAAAAATTGTTTACTTACTGATGTACTTCTATTGATGTAATATTAACATCTGTGATCACACAGAAAAAAAACTGGGAATATTTTGGTATATATTTAACAGTCACCTAACATATTCAACCGTTTTCTATGGTCAGAGTCAGTCTCGTCCATGTAACATGAAAGAAGTGGGGACTAGACAGCAGTGTGCCGCTATTCAAGTAGCTCTTTCAGCAGATACTCTTACTTAAGTAGTTATTTTAATGACTACTTCTACCTAAAGAGTATCTTAACGCCATGCTAAAAAGAGCAGTGTTTTGTCAGCCTGTTTTACCTCTGATCACATTCAGTAGTTGGGTGTGGCAACAAGTGTGCTCTGCCGCACCTGTAACCACACCCAGCGGTGACGTCAAGGGGTCCTGAAGTACACCTGTACTTCACTGCAGCAAGATGAAAAGTTAAACCACAAGGGGTCAGCAAAGACAAGATTCTCAGGGGGTGTTACTCTTTAAGTACTTGTTATTATAAATGGCCGTACTTCAGTACAGTTTATTGCTACTTGATTCTTTAGAACTTAAATTCTTGACCTTAAATAAAAGTTCAAACTGGGATGGAAAGGTGTGAAAGTTTCACAAATTACTTTTACTTTACATTAATTTATAATGTTGTTTGTGTGAAGGTGACCAACTGCTGAGTGCCAAGGTCTACTTCGACAACGTGAGGTATGAAGACGCTCTGAAGATCCTTCAGTGTGCGGAGCCATATAAGGTCAGCTTCCTGCTGAAGAGGACCATCCCTGGAGCAGAGGTCAGCGTGCGGCCTCGAGTTCCCAGTGCGGAGGTCAAAGGTCCCAAAGCCAAGATGGCCAAAATGGTAATCAATTATATTCTGTATCTATATGTGGTATACACCCTTGTAACTAAATTGTGTTATAAAGTGGCATTTTCAGTTTGTTATAATCAGACTTTGGTAAAAACTACATTAAAAGCCCAACTGTCACTTATTGTAAATAATTACATATTTAGTTCAAACTTTTAGAGCCCAAAATTAGGTTTAAAACTCATTCATAGTTTCCATATATTTTCAGTTATTAAATTGTTCAACCAACATAAAGCCTGCACCTCAACAGATATTAACACGCTCAAATTTTAGGGCCTTAAATGTTGCCGGCTGATCGTCTTGTCATTCATGTGTGTTTGTGTGTATTTCAGAGTGTGAAGGGCACCAAGACATTCAAGGTCAAGAAGAAGAGAGGAGGTCGTTTTGGTCTAAAGCGGCTTAAAGAGAAGCGCAGAGAAGAGCTGGTGATAGAGGGAACACCCCCCAGGCTAGAGATGAGTGACGTAGACGTGGAGTTTTCTCTCCCCAAGTTCAAACAGAGGAGGAGCACGAAGGTTGATGCAGGAGGAGCCGGAGGAGCAGCAGCCGAGGGGAAGGCTAAGAGGAGGATCAGGTTGGCCATGTTTGTGTTCTGTGTTTGCTTTTCATGTTGAAATTGTCACCATTAGCTGCCGTACTGACTGAACAGCATATGAAGAAATTTGCAGAGGAACGTTATGATGGTAGTTCTAAAACTGACTATTTTAATTACATCAAAAGATTATCTGAAAAGTATGTTTTTGACATATTTGCTGCTCTTTTTTTGGCTATATTACAATATGTTTTTTTTTCTTCTTCTCTCTTTCCTTTCTTTACATGGTTCTCCCAGGTTTCCCCACATGAAAACAAAGGGAGGAGCAGAGACAGGGGGAAAAGTGGAAACAGGACGACTCGAGGGACAGGTGAATATCTCTCCACCTGAGATACCTGGAGCTAAAGTGAAAACCAAAGGAAAAGGACACAAGTTTGGAATCACCTTTCCTAAGAGCAAACACACAAAGTCAGGCGCAGCTTTGGAAGGTGGATCCGTGGAGCTAAAGCCCCCGGGTGTGAACATCCAGCCACCATCAGTGGAGTTCAGTTTGTCTGATAAAGATATGGATGTGGAAAAGGGAGGGGTTAAGATTAATGCGCCTGATGTGGAGTTTGCACTCCCTTCAGGAAAAGCTGAGGCCTCTTTGCCTGCTGTAAAGGGAAAAACAGAAATCAAAGCTCCTAAAATTGACATCAAAGGAGGAGTTGGTGCAGATGCAGCTGTGGGAAAAGTTGATGTAGACATGGGCAAAGGAGATGCAAAGCTAAGAATGCCAAAGTTGAAACTGCCCAAAGTTAGACTCTCACGTCATTCGGATGAGATAGATGGTGACATCAAGGTAAAAGCCAAAGGGATAAAAGTGCCTCACACTGACATAGTACCTCCAAAAGTAGGAATCAAAGGAGGTGGTGAGATTAATCTCCCTGAAGCAAAGATCGAAGGTGATCTCTCAGCCAAAGCCGCATCGATTGAAATGCCTTCTGTTGATATTTCTTTACCAAAAGTGAAAGGAAAGTCTGACATCGACATCTCACTCCCAGAGTATGAAGGAGCTGGGAAGGCAGCTATCAAAATGCCTGCCATTGACATCTCTGTGCCTGATATTGATTTGGAATTGGACACCAGACGTAGAATTCCTGATGAGGTGGAGGGTACTTTTAAAGGGCCCAAAATCTCCATGCCAAAGGTTGATATGTCATTACCAAAGATGGAATCATCCAATGTAGATATTGAAGGTCCAGAAGGTGGAGGGAAATTCAGCCTACCCTCTGTGGACATCTCTCTCCCAAAGGTGAAACCTGTGGGTGAAGGTGTGGATATGGACTATTATGTTGGTGGAGAAGGGAAGTTCAAAATGCCTGATTTTGACATATCTTTCCCAAAAATTAAGTCACCAGAAGGAGAAGTAAATCTAAAAGGACAAGGGGTGGAAGGGGGCTTCAAGTTACCCAAAGTAGACTTGACCCTTCCCAAAAGTAAAGCAGAAACGACTGATATTGAAGGAGGTGGAAAATTTCAGTTACCATCATTTGACATCTCCCTCCCTAAAATGAAGACAGGTGAGGTGGAAGTCGATATCGAAGGCCCTGAAGTGAAAGGTAGTAAATTTGAAATGCCTGCACTTGACATTTCTCTGCCCAAAGGCAAAATGGAAGGAGACATTGAAGTAGAAGGGCATGCTGGGAAGGGAGGAAAATTCAAAATGCCTACCTTTGATGTTTCTTTACCAAAGTTGAAACAACCAGAGGGTCACGGTGGAGCTAACATCCAGATGCCCTCTCTTGATGTATCACTGCCAAAAGGAAAGATGGAGGGTGACATTGAAATAGAGGGTCCATCTGCAAAAGGAGGGAAGTTCAAAATGCCCTCACTTGATGTCAGACTCCCAAAGATGGGGGCATCTGGGGCTGAGGTTGACTTAGAAGGACCTGAGATTAAAGGAGGGAAAATTGAAGTGCCATCGGTAGACATTTCCCTGCCAAAAGGTAAATCCAAGGGTGAGGTTGAGATCGATGGAAAAGGAAGCAGGTTTAAGATGCCTTCATGTAATATATCTCTTCCAAAAATGAAGTCACCAGAGGGAGAGGTTGTTTTGGAGGGACCTGAAATCAAAGGTGGAAAGATCAAGATGCCTACTGTCGATATCTCTGTTCCACAAGGAAATGTAGATGGAGATTTGAACATGCCCTCTGTAGACATTTCTCTCCCAAAAATGAAGCTACCTGAAGGAGATGTGAAGCTAGAATGTCCTGAACTTCCAAATATTGACATTTCACTTCCCAAGGCAAATGTGGAGGGCAACATGGAGCTTGAGGGCAGTGGTGGTAGCAGAGCCAAGTTCAAGATGCCAACTTTTGACATCTCACTCCCAAAAATGAAAACCAAGGAGGGAGAGGTTGATATTGAAGGACCTGAAGTCAAAGGGGGAGCAAAGTTCAACATGCCATCACTCGACATCTCCCTTCCTACTATGAAATCATCAGAGGGGGAGGTAAAGATCGAAGGTCCTGAAGCCAAAGGAGGAAAGTTCCAGATGCCTTCATTAGATGTGTCACTACCAAAGATCAAATCACAGGGAGGTGACATCGATATTGAAGGTCCTGAGTTCAAGGTTAATACACCAGAGGCAGATTTAGACCTAAAAGGGAAAAAAATAAAAGGAGGGAAAATAAACATGCCTACAGCTGATATCTCTCTTCCAAAAGGAAAAGCAGAGGGTAAAATAGATATTGAAGGACCCACAGGAAAAGGAGGCAAGTTTAAGATGCCTACATTTGATGCATCGCTACCAAAGATGAAGATGCCTGAGGGAAACATTGGCCTTGAGGGACCCTCAGTAGATATCTCTCTTCCAAAGGGGAAAGTAGAGGGTGACATACAAACTAAAGGTAAAGGAGGACATTTTCATATACCCTCAGTTGATGTTTCTCTCCCTAAAATAAAATCAAAGCGAGGTGACATCAACATCGAGGGACCGGAAATCAAAGGTGGGGACGTTAAAATGCCAACTATTGACATCTCACCCCCTCAAGGAACATTTGAAGGCAATATCGAAGGTGAAGGAAAAGGAGGCAAATTCAGCCTGCCGTCTGTAGACGTCGCCCTCCCAGCTGTAAAATTCCCTGAAGGAGATTTCCAAGGGCCGAAAGTTAAGGGTGGGAAGTTTGAAATGCCGAAAATTGATCTCTCCCTTCCTAAAGGAAAAGGGAGACAGGGAGACATTGATATTGACATTCACTCTGGAGGAGATTGGGATATTGAAGTACCATCCTGTGATATTGGACTTCCTAAAGGAAAAGTCAAAGGTGACATAAATGTTAAAGGTCCTAAGGGGGGGAAAGGTAAATTCAAAATGCCAAAATTTGATATTTCACTTCCAAAGGGCGATGCCAAAGTGGAAGGACCAGAGGTTAAAGGAAAGATGAAAATGCCGACTGCTGATATTTCACTTCCAAAAGGAAAGATAGAGGGAGACATTGACATTGAAGGACATGGGGGTAAAGGAGGGAAGTTTCACATGCCATCACTTGATGTTTCAGCTCCTAAAATAAAATCTCCTGAGGTAGATGTCAGCCTCAAGGGTCCAGATGTTAAAGGGGGACATTTCAACATGCCAGCTGTTGACCTTTCATTACCATCAGCAAAAGTTAATTTGCCAGAGGGTGATGTAAAATTAACAGGTCCAGACATCAAGGGCAGGAAGATTGAGATGCCGGACATTGATATTTCACTCCCCAAAGGAAAAGCAGGAGGAGAAATTGAATTCGAAGGGCATGGTGGTAAAGGAGGAAAGTTCCATATGCCATCGTTTGATATCTCTCTTCCTAAAATTAAAGCTAAGGGGCCAGAGATCAACATAGAAGGTCCTGAACTTAAGGGAGGAAACATCAACATGCCAGACATTGATCTTTCACTTCCCAAAGGAAAAGCTGACGCTGACCTCAGTACTGAGGGTCCTGAGGTAACCGGAGGCAAATTCAGAATGCCCAAATTTGATGTTTCACTTCCAAAGATGAACCTGCCAGAGGGCAATGTGAAATTACCAACAGCTGATATTTCCCTCCCAAAAGGAAAGGTAAAGGGAGATGTTGACATTGAGGGACATGTGGGTAAAGGAGGAAAGTTTCATATTCCTTCGGTTAATATCTCTCTTCCTAAAATCAAATCAAAGGGAGTTGATGTTGATATTGAAGGACCTGAAGTCAAAGGTGACATGTCACTCCCTAAAATTAAGTCTCCAGATGTAGATATCAGCCTTGAGGGTCCAGATGTGAAAGGAGGAAAGTTTAACTTGCCAACTGCTGACATTTCACTCCCCAAGGGAAAAGTTGAAGGTGACCTTGATTTTGAAGGCCCTGAGGTAAAGGGGGGTACATTTAAAATGCCTAAATTTGATGTCTCATTGCCAAAAGTGCATCTCCCAGAGGGCGACGTCAAAATAAAAACCCCAGACTTTAAGGGAGGAAAGATTGAAATGCCAAGTCTTGATATTTCTCTTCCAAAAGGAAAAGCAGACGTGGATATTGACATCGATGGGCACAGTGGTAAAGGAGGCAAGTTTCACATGCCATCGTTTGATATCTCTCTTCCTAAAATGAAAGCAAAGGGAGTTGATGTTGATATTCAAGGACCTGAACTTAAAGGTGACATTTCACTTCCAAAAGGAAAAGTTGAGGGTGACCTAAATGTTGAAGGCCCTGATGTAAAAGGAGGCAAATTTAAAATGCCTAAATTTGATGTCTCATTGCCAAAAGTGAATCTCCCAGAGGGGGATATGAAAATAAAAGGCCCAGACTTCAAGGGAGGGAAGATTGAAATGCCAGACATTGATATTTCTCTTCCCAAAGGAAAAGCAGGAGGAGACATTGAAATTGAAGGACATGCTGGCAAAGGAGGCAAATTCCATATGCCCTCGCTTGATATCTCTCTTCCTAAAATGAAAGCTAAGGGACCAGAGATAAATATTGAAGGTCCTGACGTTAAAGGTGGAAAGCTAAACATGCCATCACTTGATGTTTCTTTGCCCAAAATAAAATCTCCTGATGTAGATGTCAGCCTTGAGGGTCCTGATATGAAAGGAGGAAAATTCAACATCCCGACTGTTGACATTTCACTTCCCAAAGGAAAAGTTGAGGGTGACATAAATGTTGAAGGCCCTGAGGTGAAGGGAGGGAAATTCAAAATGCCTAAATTTGATGTTTCCTTACCAAAAGTCAGTCTCCCGAAGGTTGATGCCAATGTGGAAGGACCAGATATGAAAGGAAAATTTGAAATGCCAAGTCTTGATATTTCTCTTCCAAAAGGAAAAGCAGACGTGGATATTGACATTGATGGGCACAGTGGTAAAGGAGGCAAGTTTCACATGCCATCGTTTGATATCTCTCTTCCTAAAATGAAAGCAAAGGGAGTTGATGTTGATATTCAAGGACCTGAACTTAAAGGTGACATTTCACTTCCAAAAGGAAAAGTTGAGGGTGACCTAAATGTTGAAGGCCCTGATGTAAAAGGAGGCAAATTTAAAATGCCTAAATTTGATGTCTCATTGCCAAAAGTGAATCTCCCAGAGGGCGATATGAAAATAAAAGGCCCAGACTTCAAGGGAGGGAAGATTGAAATGCCAGACATTGATATTTCTCTTCCCAAAGGAAAAGCAGGAGGAGACATTGAAATTGAAGGACATGCTGGCAAAGGAGGCAAATTCCATATGCCCTCGCTTGATATCTCTCTTCCTAAAATGAAAGCTAAGGGACCAGAGATAAATATTGAAGGTCCTGACGTTAAAGGTGGAAAGCTAAACATGCCATCATTTGATGTTTCTTTGCCCAAAATAAAATCTCCTGATGTAGATGTCAGCCTTAAGGGTCCTGATATAAAAGGAGGAAAAGTCAACATCCCGACTGTTGATATTTCACTTCCCAAAGGAAAAGTTGAGGGTGACATAAATGTTGAAGGCCCTGAGGTGAAGGGAGGGAAATTCAAAATGCCTAAATTTGATGTTTCCTTACCAAAAGTCAGTCTCCCAAAGGTTGATGCCGATGTGGAAGGACCAGATATGAAAGGAAAATTTGAAATGCCAAGTCTTGATATTTCTCTTCCAAAAGGAAAAGCAGACGTGGATATTGACATCGATGGGCACAGTGGTAAAGGAGGCAAGTTTCACATGCCATCGTTTGATATCTCTCTTCCTAAAATGAAAGCAAAGGGAGTTGATGTTGATATTCAAGGACCTGAACTTAAAGGTGACATTTCACTTCCAAAAGGAAAAGTTGAGGGTGACCTAAATGTTGAAGGCCCTGATGTAAAAGGAGGCAAATTTAAAATGCCTAAATTTGATGTCTCATTGCCAAAAGTGAATCTCCCAGAGGGCGATATGAAAATAAAAGGCCCAGACTTCAAGGGAGGGAAGATTGAAATGCCAGACATTGATATTTCTCTTCCCAAAGGAAAAGCAGGAGGAGACATTGAAATTGAAGGACATGCTGGCAAAGGAGGCAAATTCCATATGCCCTCGCTTGATATCTCTTTTCCTAAAATGAAAGCTAAGGGGCCAGAGATAAATATTGAAGGCCCTGACATTAAAGGTGGAAAGCTAAACATGCCATCACTTGATGTTTCTTTGCCCAAAATAAAATCTCCTGATGTAGATGTCAACCTTGAGGGTCCTGATATAAAAGGAGGAAAAGTCAACATCCCGACTGTTGACATTTCACTTCCCAAAGGAAAAGTTGAGGGTGACATAAATGTTGAAGGCCCTGAGGTGAAGGGAGGGAAATTCAAAATGCCTAAATTTGATGTTTCCTTACCAAAAGTCAGTCTCCCGAAGGTTGATGCCAATGTGGAAGGTCCAGATATGAAAGGAAAATTTGAAATGCCAAATCTTGATATTTCTCTTCCAAAAGGAAAAGCAGACGTGGATATTGACATTGATGGGCACAGTGGTAAAGGAGGCAAGTTTCACATGCCATCGTTTGATATCTCTCTTCCTAAAATGAAAGCAAAGGGAGTTGATGTTGATATTCAAGGACCTGAACTTAAAGGTGACATTTCACTTCCAAAAGGAAAAGTTGAGGGTGACCTAAATGTTGAAGGCCTTGATGTAAAAGGAGGCAAATTTAAAATGCCTAAATTTGATGTCTCATTGCCAAAAGTGAATCTCCCAGAGGGCGATATGAAAATGAAAGGCCCAGACTTCAAGGGAGGGAAGATTGATATGCCAGACATTGATATTTCTCTTCCAAAAGGAAAAGCAGGAGGAGACATTGAAATTGAAGGACATGCTGGAAAAGGGGGCAAATTTCATATGCCCTCACTTGATATCTCTCTTCCTAAGATAAAAGCAAAGGGACCACAGGTCAACATAGAAGGTCCTGAACTTAAAGGGAAGAAAAGCAACATGCCAAGTATTGATATTTCACTACCTGAAGGAAAGGCTGAAGCTGACCTCAATATTGAAGGTCCTGAGGTAAAAGGAGGCAAATTCAAAATGCCCAAAGTTGATGTGGAGGGAGATATCAATATTAAAGGACCATCTGGAAAGGAAAAGTTTGATGTCCCGAAAGTTGATCTATCTGGTAAAAAAGGTGGTGGGCTCCACATGCCAACTTTTGACATAAATCTCCCCAAATTTGATCTTGACCTCAGCCTCCCCTTAGGTCTGAAAGACAAAAGCTTTAAAGTAGGTGCAAGTGGTCCTGACATGTCAGGAGATTTGGAGATGTCTGGTCTCAAAGGAGATATTAGTCCAGCCAAGTTAAAGGTTAAGGGTACAGATATCGAGACAGGTAGTGTAGAAGGTCCAGGTGCATCCCTCAAACTTCCCACTGTCAAACTACCGACAGTTGACATCTCAGCTCCAAAGGTGGATCTTGACTTTGGCCTCACCAAACCTAAAGGTGACGATGTGGAAGTGGAGCTTCTTAAAGCTGAGGGAGGTCGGCCTTCTTCAGGGGGCAGCTTTGATCTACCTGATATCTCCCTCAAAGTCCCCAGTTTCTCTCTTCCCAGGTTTGGTGGAAAGTCCAAGAGTGGAGATTTGCAGATATCAGGAAAAGGCCCCAAGGGAGACATTTCCCTCAGCCCACCACATGTGGAAGGGGAGATTAGGGCACCATCAGTAGAGTTTGATGTGGATGGAAAGGTCAAGGTGAAAAAATCAAAACTCAAAATGCCCTCATTTGGCATATCCAAAAAGGATGCAGTGTCTTGTCCTGATGTGGACGTTAAAGTGAAAAAGGGTAATGTTGACATTTCTAAACCGGAAATCAACGTTGAGAGCTCAGGCGATAAATCAAAATACAAAATAAAATTCCCTAAGTTTAGAATATCATCACCAAAAGTTCAGCTCCCAGAGGGAGAGGTAGATGCTAAACTCGACACTAAGGCCAAGGTCAAGATGCCCTCTGTTGAGCTGTCACTACCAGCAGCTAAAACACCAGAGACAGAGGTTCTTCTCCCCAAAGCAGAGGTTGATGTCTCAGAGGCTGATATAAGAGGTTATGAGGGAAGCCTCAAAATTCCCAAAATGCCAACGATTGACGTTTCCATCCCCAAAGTAGACCTGGATGTGTCCCTACCAAAAGTAAAGCATGGTGCAAAGGTTGATGGAGAAGGTGGCAAATTCAAGATGCCAAACATCAAGATGCCTGACATTGACTTGTCCCTTCCTAAAGGAAAAACAGGCATCGAAGGAGGTCACATTGGAGTCGGTGCAGAGGGAGGGAAATTCAAAATGCCTCACATCAGTATGCCTGACATTGATATATCCCTGCCAAAAGGAAAGTCAAAGATTGAGGGACCAGAGGTGGAACTAAAAGGAGGTGAAGGAAAATTCAAAATGCCTCACATGAAAATGCCAGATTTTGACATCTCTCTCCCCAAAGGAAAGATTGAAGGTCCAGATGTTGAAATAGAGGGAGGTAGTGGAGGAAAATTCAAAATGCCTCACATGAAAATGCCAGATTTTGACATCTCTCTGCCCAAAGGAAAGGTTGAAGGCCCAGATGTTGAAATTGAGGGAGGTTCTGGAGGAAAATTCAAAATGCCTCACATGAAAATGCCAAATATTGACATCTCTCTCCCCAAAGGAAATATTGAAGGTCCAGATGTGGACCTCAAAGGGGAAGGTGGAAAATTCAAGATGCCACATCTCAGCATGCCCTCAGTTGATATTTCACTTCCAAAAGGAAAGGTTGAAGGCCCAGATTTTGAAATAGAGGGAGGTTCAGGAGGAAAATTCAAAATGCCCCACATGAAAATGCCAGATTTTGACATCTCTCTTCCCAAAGGAAAGATTGAAGGTCCAGAGGTGGACCTCAAAGGGAAAGGTGGAAAATTCAAGATGCCACATGTTGGCATGCCCTCAGTTGATATTTCAATTCCAAAAGGAAAAGTTGAAGGCCCAGATGTTGAAGTAGAGGGAGGTAGTGGAGGAAAATTCAAAATGCCTCACATGAAAATGCCAGATTTTGACATCTCTCTCCCCAAAGGAAAGATTGAAGGTCCAGATGTTGAAATAGAGGGAGGTAGTGGAGGAAAATTCAAAATGCCTCACATGAAAATGCCAGATTTTGACATCTCTCTCCCCAAAGGAAAGATTGAAGGTCCAGATGTTGAAATAGAGGGAGGTGGTGGAGGAAAATTCAAAATGCCTCACATGAAAATGCCAGATTTTGACATCTCTCTGCCCAAAGGAAAGGTTGAAGGCCCAGATGTTGAAATAGAGGGAGGTTCTGGAGGAAAATTCAAAATGCCTCACATGAAAATGCCAAATATTGACATCTCTCTCCCCAAAGGAAAGATTGAAGGTCCAGAGGTGGACCTCAAAGGGGAAGGTGGAAAATTCAAGATGCCACATCTCAGCATGCCCTCAGTTGATATTTCTCTTCCAAAAGGAAAAGTTGAAGGCCCAGATGTTGAAATAGAGGGAGGTAGTGGAGGAAAATTCAAAATGCCTCACATGAAAATGCCGGATTTTGACATCTCTCTTCCCAAAGGAAAGATTGAAGGTCCAGAGGTGGACCTCAAAGGGAAAGGTGGAAAATTCAAGATGCCACATGTTGGCATGCCCTCAGTTGATATTTCAATTCCAAAAGGAAAAGTTGTAGGCCCAGATGTTGAAATAGAGGGAGGTAGTGGAGGAAAATTCAAAATGCCTCACATGAAAATGCCAGATTTTGACATCTCTCTCCCCAAAGGAAAGATTGAAGGTCCAGATGTTGAAATAGAGGGAGGTAGTGGAGGAAAATTCAAAATGCCTCACATGAAAATGCCAGATTTTGACATCTCTCTGCCCAAAGGAAAGGTTGAAGGCCCAGATGTTGAAATAGAGGGAGGTTCTGGAGGAAAATTCAAAATGCCTCACATGAAAATGCCAAATATTGACATCTCTCTCCCCAAAGGAAAGATTGAAGGTCCAGATGTGGACCTCAAAGGGGAAGGTGGAAAATTCAAGATGCCACATCTCAGCATGCCCTCAGTTGATATTTCACTTCCAAAAGGAAAGGTTGAAGGCCCAGATGTTGAAATAGAGGGAGGTTCTGGAGGAAAATTCAAAATGCCTCACATGAAAATGCCAGATTTTGACATCTCTCTTCCCAAAGGAAAGATTGAAGGTCCAGAGGTGGACCTCAAAGGGAAAGGTGGAAAATTCAAGATGCCACATGTTGGCATGCCCTCAGTTGATATTTCAATTCCAAAAGGAAAAGTTGAAGGCCCAGATGTTGAAATAGAGGGAGGTAGTGGAGGAAAATTCAAAATGCCTCACATGAAAATGCCAGATTTTGACATCTCTCTCCCCAAAGGAAAGATTGAAGGTCCAGATGTTGAAATAGAGGGAGGTAGTGGAGGAAAATTCAAAATGCCTCACATGAAAATGCCAGATTTTGACATCTCTCTCCCCAAAGGAAAGATTGAAGGTCCAGATGTTGAAATAGAGGGAGGTAGTGGAGGAAAATTCAAAATGCCTCACATGAAAATGCCAGATTTTGACATCTCTCTGCCCAAAGGAAAGGTTGAAGGTCCAGATGTTGAAATAGAGGGAGGTTCTGGAGGAAAATTCAAAATGCCTCACATGAAAATGCCAAATATTGACATCTCTCTCCCCAAAGGAAAGATTGAAGGTCCAGATGTGGACATCAAAGGGGAAGGTGGAAAATTCAAGATGCCACATCTCAGCATGCCCTCAGTTGATATTTCACTTCCAAAAGGAAAAGTTGAAGGCCCAGATGTTGAAATAGAGGGAGGTAGTGGAGGAAAATTCAAAATGCCTCACATGAAAATGCCAGATTTTGACATCTCTCTTCCCAAAGGAAAGATTGAAGGTCCAGAGGTGGACCTCAAAGGGAAAGGTGGAAAATTCAAGATGCCACATGTTGGCATGCCCTCAGTTGATATTTCAATTCCAAAAGGAAAAGTTGAAGGCCCAGATGTTGAAATAGAGGGAGGTTCTGGAGGAAAATTCAAAATGCCTCACATGAAAATGCCAAATATTGACATCTCTCTCCCCAAAGGAAAGATCGAAGGTCCAGAGGTGGACCTCAAAGGGGAAGGTGGAAAATTCAAGACGCCACATCTCAGCATGCCCTCAGTTGATATTTCACTTCCAAGAGGAAAAGTTGAAGGCCCAGATGTTGAAATAGAGGGAGGTAGTGGAGGAAAATTCAAAATGCCTCACATGAAAATGCCAGATTTTGACATCTCTCTGCCCAAAGGAAAGGTTGAATGTCCAGATGTGGACCTCAAAGGGGAAGGTGGAAAGTTCAAGATGCCACATCTCAGCATGCCCTCAGTTGATATCTCTCTTCCAAAAGCAAAAGTCGAAGGCACTGAAGTAGAAATGCAGGGAAAGGGACAGGGAAGGTTTAAAATGCCCCACATGAAAATGCCAGATGTTGACATCTCTCTGCCCAAAGGAAAGATTGGAGGTCCAGAAGTTGAAATGGAGGGACACATGAAAATGCCTTCAGTTGATATTTCAGTGCCAAAAGGACAGATTGAAGTTCCAGACACTGAAGTAGAGGGAAGTACCGGAGGAAAGTTCAAAATGCCTCATTGGAAAATGCCAGACTTTGATATCTCTCTACCCAAAGGAAAGATTGAAGGTCCAGATGTTGAAATAAAGGGAGATGGAGGAGGAAAATTCAAAATGCCTCATATGAAATTGCCAAATGTTGACATCTCACTGCCCAAAGGAAAATCTGGCAAAATTGAAGGAGCAGAGCTGGAGATTGAAGGAGATGAGGGACAGTTCAAGATGCCTAATGTGGACATATCTATCCCTAAAGGAAAAACAAATATTGACACACCAGAGATGAAAGTGGATGCAGAGGGAGGAACCATCAAGCTGCCACATATCAAGATGCCAAAAGTTGATATTTCACTTCCTAAAGGTAAAAGTAAAAGTGTTGAAGCACCGGCTATAGAGATGGGAGTCACTGGAGGAAAATTCAAAGGTCCAGATGTTAAACTTCCAAACGTGGGTATATCAGTACCGAAGGATAAATTGGGTGAAGTTGAGACAGGAGGGAAAATTAAAGGGCCAGAGGGTCATGGTGAAGCTGATTTACACGTTGAGGGAGAGCACAAAGGTCTGAAACTCAAGATGCCAACAATAGATATCAAGGGTCCAAAAGGAGACCTGGAGCTTGATATAGGACTTCATAGAGGAGATGGCAAGAAGGACAGGAAAAAAGTTGAACTACCTGACTTGGATCTCAACACGGCAGGAACCAGCAGTAAAGTAAAGGGGCCTAAAGTCAAAGGAACAAAATTCAATATTGGAATGCCAAAAAAGAAAGCGAGCAAAAATGTAACAGCAGAAGCAAAAATATGCAAAAACTGTGGCAATGTGGAATTAGGTGGTAAAGTCAAACACAAATGCGAGGTTAAAGAAAGATTTGAGTATGAAGTTGAAGTTGAAACCCACAACGGACATAAAGAGGACAAAGGTCGAATTAACATCGCCGGGCCAGAGGTTACATTACCAAGTGTACAAGGCTCGGCCAGCTTAGGAGCTGGAGGCGCGGGTGGCCTCTCATCATCTGGAGCAGAAATCAAAGTCCCCAGGATTCCAGACATAGACTTTGACATTGGTACATCACAGGATGAAGATAATAACAAAACCGAAAAAGGCAAGAAAATCAAAATCCCTAAGTTTGGTGTCCCATTACCCTCCATCTCCTCTCCTGAGGGACGAATTAATCTATATGGGCCAGAAATTCAGTATGAGGGCCCTAAAATGCCCAAAGTAAAGAAAGCTGTTTTTGTCTTGGTAAATCCTCCTCAAACAGATGAGCCCGCTGTATGCACTGGCACAACATCTGAGGTTGAAACAGAGGACATCAAAGTGAAGATGCCCAAAATCAAAATGAAGCCAAGCTTTGGGAAATCCAAAGAAACGTCCGGGGCTGTGAGCACAGAGTGGGAGGGAGACGAAAAGTTAAAAGGAGGGAAGATGAAAATGCCCCAAGTGTCATTTTCTGGCAAATCAGGGTCATTTGATGTCAAAGGTTCAAGTTCAAGTCTCAACGGTGAACAAGATGAAAGTCCTCACAAGGGCTCCAAGGATGATAAAGGGACATTCGGTGGTAAATTCAAACTTCCAAAGGTTGAGTTCACCTCTCCATATGGCAAGATGGCTGCAGAGGAGGACACAGAAATGAGTGTGAAACTGGGAAAGGATTCATCACCAGGAGAAGTGGGAAGAGACACTAAAGGGCTTAAAGTGAAATCAGGAAAGATGGCCGCAGCAGGTTTTACTGAGGAGTCCTCGGGGGCTGTGGTGTCATCTCATGCCAGAACAGAAATGCTGGACAGGGACAGCTCAGAGTCCCCCTCTGGTTACACCTTGGAGTTCAGCCCAACAAAGGTCCAGGCTTGGAGCGAGGTTGAGAGCAAAAGTAGGGACTCAGAAGAAAGAGAGTCTGGTCCCTGGTTCAAGGTCCCCAAGTTCAGCCTGAAGCCACACTCCACAGGTAAGGATAAAGGAAACTTCAAACTGAGATAGATAACAACATCTTTGAAAAATTAGACATGGACTCAAACTGTTGATATTAATCAAGTCAAACATCATTTATCAGTTCTTAAAATAAAATTAATAAATGGGACTAAATTACTTGATTCCTATATTGTCAAGAATATTCCGAAAAGTCATCATTTCCAAAATGTATATATAGTGTGGGCTATCATTTCAGTTTTTATTTAAAAGAGGCACTCTACTGATTTTACTCTTAATAGTCAGTTTACTAGTCATGGTTAGTACCGCCCAGCGGTAATATGTCTTCTCTGGTTCTGGTGGAGCTTTGTGAAGCCCTAAAAATAACTGGTGACCAGGTTATCTCTGCCTAGTCTGAGTGAATACACATTTTAGTAGCATTTGCAAGTTGTGGCCCCTCCCTGACTAAACGCCTGCTGTCCAGTTGCATTATTGGAAGTTTAGGACTCATAGTAAAAGTATATCTTAGTCTGTGCTGCATTCTGTCTTTCCACAAAGTTCCCCAAACGTTATAGAAGTGCTATTTAAAAGTACTCCTTTAAAAGAAAATAATTAATAATAATGTGTTGTATTGTATAATGACCTTTTTGTTTTTTTATACTTCATACCTGCATTCTATTTCACTATATTACCATAGAATGTATTATATAATACACTGCATTATGCATAATTTATCTTTCCTACATTTGATGTGTTTTTTCTATAAATTATTAATATATATTTCCTGTTTTGTCTCTGCTACATAAGACTAAGTTTCTTTTCCCTCTTAATTTCATCACCTATCCTCCTCTCCTATCCTTCCTCTACTCGCCTCTGCTTCCTTCCTCACCTCCTCCTCCAGGCTTCCTCCAGATAACCCCAGAGGGCTCTCCTCAGGCCCAGCGGAAAGGGGCGGTGGGAGGAGAGGTTGACGTCTCGGGGTCTTTCTGCCTCCACACCTCAGGGCTCGACTTCACCACCCAGGAAATGTCCCAAGAGCACCAGGTCTCCTCCACGGAGGAGGGAACTGTCACCATGGTGACCAAGACCACCAGAATCACCCGGCAAATAGTCTCCACCGAAACGCGAACAGGTGAATCTTCGACGACCACGTCAACGACTCACCAGGTGTCGGACTTTTAACTACTGAGGATGCTGTAATGATATCTTAAATGTCTTTTAATTTTTTTGTTTTTCTTTGGTGAGGTTGCAGTGTTCTTGTAAGCTAAGCCTGCAACGTGGCAAACCTCGATCGAGTAAAAGTCTTTATTTTATATTCTGATAGGTGAGGTATGAATGTGATGAAAAACAATGACGTTTCATCAATCAGCATTATCGTCATTATAACAGCAAACAGAGTAATATATGCTTCCTTTTTTCATTTTAAATGTGACTATTTTCTGTTATTTTTGAGTTTTGTTAGTTTAGTCCTAATTATTTATCATATTTTGTTTGGTTTTTAAAGGTTTCACTCTGAATGTAAACATGTCGGATTGTTTAATTATTTATTGTTGTTTATGTGTTCAAAATGGGCTGGAATGAGTCATTAACTCACATCAGCATCATGGATTTGACCATGATTTTAAGTTCAAAATCATTAATTTTGAACCACTACAGGCCAGAGTAATATTTATGTAAATACAACTATATAATTGCTTTTTTGAAGCAGTATCCCTTCTACATGAAATGTAATTATTTTCATATTCACCAGAGTCAGGAGTAGAAATGATATTTTTTGACCTGATAACCTATTTTGTTTGTCTTGATAGAAAAGTGTGAGCTTTTTTAGATTATAGGATATTCTCATTTTCTGCCATAGTTTTATATTTTACACATTTATCTGGTGCTGTTACCCAGAGATAGTCACAGTGAGTGAGCAGGACACTCTGGACTCTTTTTCTGCTGTGGGGATCAAACCTGTGACCTTCTGCTTACAGGTTGCTCTCAAACATTTAGGCCACCCTGCTGCTAATCTATTTTATATGTATGTTTTTACTGTACACTGCCAGACACCACTGTATATTTTGTGATTGAGGCTTTAGATTCAAGATATTCCTCCCGGCTGACGCTGATTTTTTGAAACATTTCAAAATATCAACAGTGAGCTTGGAGGCAATTTGGGATTTAGGGGTGCTGTTGGGCGCTTTAAGAAAATCAGTGAGAGAATATTTAAAAGGTAAAACTGTAAACCTTTTCCTCTTGACACTTAAAAAATAGCCCTCTAAAAATGATGTTACTATAAGGCTGCTGCAATGACTGACTGGCTAAGGAGTGGCGAGCCTTTATCTTGTACAAAAGCCATCACGTAACAAAATATGTCCTCTCAAGACAGAAGAGGACCAAGGCACGTTACTAATCTGACATTCTTCTGTTTATTATATGAATATTTTTGAAGATATTATAGAATAACGTCAGATTAATAAAAGCATTTTTATTCAGTGCCTTTACCCCTGTCCTCCATTTAAAGTATGAATTGCTTTGAAATGGAAGGAGAAAGCCTTGTGCTGTCTATAAGATATTTATTTTATTGTCTCAACATTTAAACATTTAAGTTTCATTCCCAAATGCAGTACCCACCATTTGAGAGAAAAACAGCTACTGTAACATTTCTGATATTAATTGAAAACTTACTTATGAAAGCTACTGATTTTATACACTACTCATAGCCATTTACTTACAAGATAACAGTTTCACAGGATACAACCATGTGATTTTTCAGAATAATGAGCTATTTTTCAAGTGAATGTAAAGCATTTAAGAATGAACACTTTACTAAGTATTCAAAAAGTTGACTTTACTTAGTTTGCTTTACTTGGTTGGTAGATGGAATGTAATTGTGTGATAAAATGCATTAAGACATCCTGACAAATCCACTCCCACGTTTTATTTCATTAACACCAATGCCTGTTTTGCAGGTGAGAAATAGATTTTTTAAAAGCTGGAACAAGAGTAGTGACATGTCAAGGTAACACGCACTGAGTAGATTCTATGTGTATAGAGATTTTTACCTTTCTGGTTTAATCAAGTCCTTAAATTTCTTTTAGATGATAAGGTTTCAGTGCCAAGTGTTTTTGTCAAAGCTGCATTGGAGAGGATGTTGATTAAGATGTCATATCAATAAAATAATATTCCCACAAAAATTATTTGAAAGATGGTGTCCAGGTGTCTCGACCCTCACAACAGCTGAATTAATTATAAAGGTTGTGGACTGATTGGTGTTTCATGAGGTTTCTCACTGTACGTCCACTCGAATCTTCTTTCATCTCACTGACAAATTCAAATTACTTTGGTAGAAAACATCCAGGTGTATGGAAACCCATTTACAACATTTTTAACTCACAACTATCTCAATATATAAGTAAACATGTAAGATAACAAGTACACGATTTCATAATTTTGACTTAGTATATGATAATTTTAGGATAGTATATAGTATTAATGTTTTATTTATGTCACATTTTATAACTTGAAATTTAACTTTAAATGTTCCTAATCTCATGATACCTTGTTACAATGAAGAATATTTTCATCTTTATTTTATTTTAAGCTTCCATACTGAATGTGACCCATGTTAAAGGCCTGTTTCTATAAGATGTATCATCTTCTTTGAGCAGAATGTGATAAACAACATCCTCACGTTGACCACACAAACATCAAAAATGTATTTTATCATTAGATCAAGCTTCACTGGTAATGAAGACACCTTTCTAGCCAAACATTACACAAATCATGGTGACTTGGTATTTTTTGTAATTAACTGATTATCTTGAACAGTCAACAGGCAAGTTACACTTTTACATTATATTGGCTGGATTTTGACGCCAATGTCAAACTACTTTAATGATGCCACCCAGTGGTGGTATTAAGAAAAGTTACTGTTGTTCTCATGTTCAGTGCAGCTTTAACGTCTCAGTTACTGGAATATACTGATGGGTCTAGTCGGAACACATAGATGTGCATCAGGACTGATCGTTCTCATCTGAACATGACAAAGGAAACACTGCAGGGCCATTCACTGCTATGTCACATTCTTCACTTGATTAAAAAGCTGCACTGCAGAAGCAAAAGCACAGGTGCAGCAAAAAATACTTTGAGGAACGGATTATTCTCACCTTTGAATTCAGCCTGAATCAGCCACCAAGAAAAAGGAGAGCGGGAAACCTCTTTTCTGCTGTGGATTAGAGACTCAAAAGCACATGCATGAGTCTCTTTGAAAAAGTCCTGGAGAGGAGGGACTTTGGAGGAGAAAGTGATAAACTATGCACACCAGTGCATGACGTCTTCCCATTTGTGTGTGTGTGTGTTCTCAATCTACTTATCTGCTGCTGTGATGATGCTGTGCTACGTAGGCTACAAGGGTGAGTGTATGTGAGGGGAGACTAATGCTGTATGAGGAGCGAGCAGTGCCTCAAGAGAGGAGGGAAGTGAGAATCAAGAGACTGCAGCATCACCGGCTACAGTGTGTAACAAAGAACCTTATATCTCACTTACACTGATCTCTTCTAACAGGATGATAATCAGCAGCAGCACTTAGAAACTGTGGTAATGTCGTTAGGGGCTTGAGTGTAGCTGTCCTGATGACTAAAGTACATTTCCTGACTTCACCATATTCATACTGTATTGTTTGGCTGACATAATATCATATGGTGCTATCAATATTGAATGAAGTTGTTCATTCACTCTCTTTAGAAACAGTCAACCAGTTCCAGGATCAAATGGTTGGCTCACCATCCTCCAGCCAACAAACATGTCATCCATCTTAAATTTGCTGTTTAGTCTCCACCAACCTTTGGGTTGCTGCTGGCTCTTTATATCTTTAACATTATTATGTGACAGAGGTCTCTGGTGCCGCTCATTATAAAGGTCTTTCTTCTGTGTGAAAACAGTACTTCACTTGGACATTAGACAGTATTTCCCGCGCTTTCTTCGCTTTACATGACACCATATTTTTAATTAACAAGTCACATAACATGAGTGACGGAAGCTCCCATACATGAGGGCTACCAAGGCCTTACCCCCCACACACTGCTACTACAACAACTGCTGTTACAGTTGCTGGTACTAGTTGGCGAACTTAACACAGTTGATGTATTCGCTGACAAAACACACGGGCCTACAGTAAACAACATAGTGCAAATAAAGTCAGATATAAACACTGTCATTGCAGAGTAGACTGAACTAATATCACCAGATTACCTGCTATAAAAATAATACTTTAGGCAACAGCAACATTCTTCTTCTATCTGGAGTTCAATAAATATGAATTATTTCTACAGAAAACATGAAGAAAACTCACATGAGGGCACATTGTGCAATAATTAGCACATGAGATGAGCTATATAATCATGTGATTAACTTCTCACATGACACCTTGGGGAGCATGTATGTGTGTCTGATGCCCAATCTTTTGGTTCAGAATCTTTTTAATTGTGCAGCAGACAGAATCATTTTTACCCTGATGGGAATAAACACTTCCAGGCAATTATCCTTTTTAATTAAAAAATCTTTCTCCTGGCAGCTCACCTTGTAGAGTGTGTGTGTCAAGACTTACCACAGTGACCACAGAGTCGGCCAGAAGCCCTTTGCTGCATGTCATCCTCTTTCTCTCTCTCTCTCTCTCTCTCTCTCTCTCTCTCTCTCACACACACACACACACACACACACACACACCTGCCTTTCCTGTCTCTCTCTTCCTATCCTAAAAAAGCGAAATGCCCCAAAAAAGCCTTTCTCCAAATGGGCATCAACAACCCCGCATACACTTCCGCTCTCCTCACTTCCCCTGCCTCTGTGTGGCACGAAGCACCCCTCCTATCGGTGAGTGGGCTGCAAGTCAAATTAGCTCTCCGTCATCCTGCTCGCTGAGCGCACCCGAGGCTACTGCGGTAAGATGCGGCGACGCACGATGCCGAGTCGCGGTGGATGAGCTGATGCGCAATGGCCGAACGAGTGAAGAAAGAGGGCGACAAAAGATCCTCAGCGGTGTCCGGCTCTAATTTACACGATGGGACGGAATTGAACGCGTGTTTGGCGGATTTGTAGCGCTGTAATCTCCGCTGGTGCAGGCCGACTGGAAGGATGTGGATGCGCTGATCCCGCTGAAGGATGCTCCGGAACCCGAGGAGGGTTGAATAGGATTCTCCTGTAAACAACAAGGAAGCGGAGAGACCTTAAGTAAAGGACAGTCCATCCAAAGCCTGGACCGGAGACTGACGCACCGAATGAGGTGAGACACAATGAAACCTGTTCTCGGGCAGTCCTTTCAGGACACGTTGGATGGGGATACTGGTTTTGCTGGTACAGTGTGTGGTTTGACGTGGTTCATCTCCATCATAGTGGTACACAGCCTGCTGATATGAGTAGGCTAAGTGTGATATGCGTGGCCCAGACCTATTTTTTTTACCCCTTATGTGGCGGCTTAGTGAGCCACTTTGGGTAGATGCTTTAAGCTGTGTAGACATGAGAAGAATTTATGTATCTATGGCCACCTGCGTTTCATTTTTAGTCCATTTGAAGATTCTGTTCGGCTGATGCAACAACTAATCTAATTGGAACCACGGTGGTCATGCTGCGAATACACAGTTTTATATAAAAATAAGGCCTGTCTGTGTAGGAGTAGTATGAAAAGAAGCCACTTGGATTCAAATGTGTGACCTTTGACAGACTCACACCCCCTCAGCCAGGATAGCTGTAATCCAGTGAGTTAAACCAAAGTGAAACCAAATCACCCCCTGTGTAGAATAATGGGAAATTAAACGTTTCTCTTTCGTGTTTTTATTCACATTTTCATTAGATCTGCCTTTTATCTGCTCAGTTTTCTTTTGTAATAATCATACAAAGATGATATAGGATTTAACTGTCACTCCTCCTGGCAGGATTCCTACTATTGTAACCATTTCCAATAATTAATTCATATATCTACTTTTTTAATGAGCAGACATCACATCTTTTGAACCATGAGTCTTTAATTTCCTTGTTTTGTCCCACTCCCCTGCAGGTTGTTTTGTGACAGCTGAGTCAGTTTTCAGTGCCAGCAGAGAGGGCGGTGAGGCTCTGAAGATGGCGTCACATCGCTCTGGAAGAAAACAAACTTCTCAATATCCTCTCTATAATCAGCTCTGACTGCCGGACATCTGACCTGGGTGCTTTTTTTCTTCGTCAGGAGACTCTCAGAGTTGAGGAGCGATAAAGAGAAACAGAAGCATAGCTCCAGCTGGCTGTCAGGAAAACAACCGATTCTGTTTTTTGTCCAATAACTCTGATGTTGTCGGGAATGAAATGCTAAGACATGAAGTTAGCAAGGGAGTCAGCTCTCTCTTGCAGGGTCAAGTAAATATTTTCTTTCGTGGTCAGAATGAATTAGTAAGAAATTCCTTAGAGTATTCCAGCTATTTCATAATGTGTAGTGTATCTTTTTCACACTATGATGTTTTTACCTTCGAGCTGTCACGCTCTGTATCAAGGATAGACTCCTGATAGTGCCAGCAGTCCCTCTCACCTGACAGGCTGCATTTTGAAAAAGGAAAAGCGAGTACAAACCAATAAAACATAGATGAGGCCAACAACAAGCACCATGCTCCAGCAGAATAACAACAATAACTACCCCTGCCTGAATGTGTCAGGCTCCACCCGGGAGATACTCCAGAAGTGCTCCAGAGCCTCTCTGCCCTTCCCCAGCCGACTGGAGCTGGGTCTGGGTGACCTGCCGCTGATTCGGGGCCTCCGAGCTTGGGCCCTTTGCTCCAAGAACCGCCGGAAGGCTGGTGGTCTGCTTGGAGGAGGACAAGCCCCGACAGCTCCTCCTGCAGGCCGCCGTGGCTCCACTTCCTGTCCCAGGCCTGCAGATGTGTATCTGAGCGGGGAGTGGGGTCGCATGGGGTACGGGCTTCCCTTGGGGCTGGATGCTGGGCAGGCCGGGATTGGAGCTTTGGTTACAGTTGCCACTCTGAAGACCTCAGAGGGCAGCGGGAAGACACAGACGCAATGCCTCTTTCTCCGGACTGAGAAAGGTAGCTGTTTGTACTCGACAGCTAAGCCTGGTTCTGGTGTGACTACCAGTGCAGCCTCCAGTGTGGTTGGGGGGTGGCTGAGAGGAAAGACAGGAGGAGGAGGAAACAGAGACACACCAGCCGGGAGGAGGGAC